ATGAAGTCACACTCGATTGTAAGTCGCATCCCCTTCTTTGCTCTTGATGTTTAGTGTAAACAAGGTGCGACTTACATTCCGGGAAATACGCTAGTTGACGCTTCAGTGACGAGTTGAAGCTAGTTGTCAGGTCGTTGAATGTCTCAGCAGTGCTGCCCTCGAGGAATCCCAAATCAGTGGAGAACAGGTGGAGAAAAATTGTGTTCCTTCTCCCCCTTTTTTTTTTTACAACTATTTGCTTGAAATTAATGTTCGCTCCTTTTGCGACTGTCTGCAAATAATCGACTATTGATACTTGAACTCACTCACTGGTCGATCTCTAAATGTTCTTGCTGTATGTACTGGTGTGTGTGTGTGTGTTTCTGAAGCACCTGTTGGACCTGTAAGGAACCTGAAGCTCCAAAATGACACAGCGACTGCAAGTGGGGCTACGTTTATGCTCTTGTTTGACCCCGTGTTGTATGAGCTTCGCAACAGCATAATCACCAGGTATCAGATTGCCCTGAAGAATGCATCGGGGGCTGTCGTTCGTACAGAGATTCAGGCCGTTGGTCCCCGCCCAAATGACCGTGTCACACACGTAAGTTGTTCCTGCGGGCTTTCATGTGTATGCATGTAGTGGTATTCAGGGTTGATTGATTTGTGCACACATGTACGACTCGATGACCAGCCAAGGCCCCGTGAGCAGTCACATGTCCTGTAGCCTGTCACACAGTTACAAGCGGTCCATGACCAGGCCTAGTAAGCCAAACAACCAGCCGGTCACAGCTTACACTTTGCCCCAAGACCAATCACCAGAAATCAGCTTGTAGGGAATCCAACATCCTGTTCACAATAGTCTGCACACATGCCTACACACGCACGCACGCATGCATACACACATGCATGCATACACACACGCATGCATACACACACGCACACACACACACACACACATACACACACGCACACACGCACACATACACACAAACATACATACTCACGCAGTGAGGGCAGTCTTTCCAAATGACTTGATAATTTTCTTTATATCTCATGTCGTGGTGGTAAAGACATACCTGGCAACATGGTCACACAGGCTCGCTATGTTGTATCTCCTTTCGATTAATCATCAAGCTGCCATCACTTTGATCCTTGAGGGCGGTGGCGTTCCTACAGATGCAGAATGCTAGATGATTTCATCCAGGCTGTACACCCAATTCTTTACCTGACCCGAGCACACATCAATAAGCGAAACACTTGAAAACAGCATGCTGGCCAGACACATAACGTTTGGTTTTTATAGCATCAAGAAGCATTGCTTGTATTCGTCAGCGGCACCCGGTGTGCTGCTTTTTTTCTTCTTTACAATTCCAATGACTGATGAAGCGGCCAGATGCCTCACACCAATTACGCAGTGCAAGTAGCTCTGCGACTTTACTGTTTCTTTGCCCTTGTGTGTGTGTGTGAAACAGAGTATCAGTGGGCTGATACGCTACCACCTCTACACGGTTGTTGTGACACCGGAGAACACCGATAGCGAGCTGGGCCCGTCAGTCAACATCACGGGCCTCTCTGTCGAAGGCGGTAAGCTTCTATAAGATAATAAATTGACGAGCATGATCATTGTTCACAGGGACACTGCTAGCAGCCCCCTGCAACTGCCATGTACTGACGAACATACTGTAGTACATGTATGCATGTACATGGCAAGCCTTGTTGGGTATACTCTGTGCATGGCAAGCCTTGTTGGGTATACTCTGTGCATGGCAAGCCTTGTTGGGTATACTCTGTGCATGGCAAGCCTTGCTGGGTATACTCTGGACATGGCAAGCCTTGCTCTCTATACATGGCAAGCCTTGTCGGGTATACTCTGGACATGGCAAGCCTTGCTCTCTATACATGGCAAGCCGTGCCTGTATATGCCCGCACTTGGCCTTGCAAACAGCAGAAAGACAGTATGGACACTAAACACTACACTTTCCCCGTAGTCAGGAAATAACTGTGGGCATTTTGAAATACTACGTGTACCTTGTGTGTTGGTTAAGTTGCGTATAAGTTTGGGATACACTGTAGTAAATACATTTGTCCAGGTTGCTATGGGCTACACATACATGTCTAAGCCTCTATGAGCTATGTGTCCAGGTTAGGCCCAGACAGATTCTGCTCCGCTCGCCTCGATTATTTTGCCGCAAAATGTAGCTGCGAAATCTTCAATATTTTGCCAAGCCTGGCATAAGAATCTCGATATTTTGCTCCATCTTTCTCCGGAAAACGCGTATTTTATCCACTTCCCGTACAACGTTTCATGAAAATTGCAGGGTCGGTTTCTCAACCCGGGTTTCACGCACGTATCCCTGGGTTCTTCCAAATTCATGTCGATCCACAGTGAATCCCAGTGATATTTCGGTGACATGATCTCATCCTGGGCAGTGTATCATCAAGAGTACATAACCAAGAGTGTGCAACTGCCTGCACAACCTCTATGCTGTGCTGCGACGGCAGAACTTCACATCACGTGACATGGTTCAAAAGGTTATGCTGGCAAACAGTGCAAAGTGACCACAAGAGAGTTGTACCCAAAGCTGGGCTGCGTACAACCCAGTATCTATCATGCACTAGAGTGCACGGGTTCATCACGTGATGTGAAGTTCTGCCGTCGCAGACCCCATAGCTGGAGTTGCACACTCTTGGGTTATGTACTCTTGGTATCATGCAGAACGGGTAAGAAACAAGGAAATCTAAGTATCAGGCATCGATTTGACCCAATATCTCGATATTTTGCTCCGATTTTGCCAGCAATTTCCGCTTCTTCAATTCTTCGATATTTTGCCGCAGGAATTGCCGGCAGGATCTGTCTGGGCCTAGTCCAGGCCTCTATGGCCTACATGTCCAGGCCTATATGGCCTACATGTCCAGGCCTATATGGGCTACATCTCTAGGCATGTATGGGCTATGCATACAGTACACTGTACAGGTCCCTATGGGCTATGTGTTTTACAATAAGAGGACAGAGAAAGTGTTTTAACTCTGTTCTCAGAGTTTCCACTGGATTTTAAATAATTAAATTGGCACTGGTGCCTACTTGTAAGAGTTGGTGCAACATTCCGGCCAAAGTGCATGAGAGAACATCGCGCAAAGTTATTGCGACCCATGCACGACCATGTGCAGAAGACCAGTTCACAAGTCCAGTGTGGTAGGAGGGTGTGCGTGTTTGTACACATGTTGTTCCTGTTTTCGTTTGTGTGTGTTCAGTGCCGACAGCGGTGACAGCACTGTCATTCTGCTGCGTGCAGTTCAGTTCAGCAGCAGTGCAATGGCGCGACCCGGTCAACTACTTTGGCATTCCCATTGGATTCCAAGTGGCAATAGCACCTGCAGTGCAGCCAAAGCGTCGTATTGCTGTCACCCTGAGAAACGTTTCCTTTGCACGTCTGGACGCATATTCAACCTACACAGTGACAGTGGCTGCTGAAACTGGAAAGGGCGAAGGAGCTCAAAGCTCTACTACGTTTCGAACCTGCCAGCACAGTAAGGGGTGTGTGTGTGTGCGTGTGTGCATGTATGTGTGTGTGTGTGTGTGTGTGTGTGTGTGTGTGTGTGTGTGTGTGTGTGTGTGTGTGTGTGTGTGTCCCATATGGTGCAGTGGTATGTGCAACGATTTCCAATCGATAGGTTGCGGGTTCGATTCCCGACGATAATGGTCACACACGTCTTTCTTCTCTTTCTTAGACTCTTTCTGACTTTTCTTTCATTCTCCTGGGTGGTTACCAACAGCCAGTGCATGCCAGAGTATGTGGTGTGATGTGTGTGCGGGAAAAAAAAATAAAAAGACCAAAAAGTAGGGATTCACTGGCCAGAAAAAGCCACGATTTACACCCAAAACAGCGCAACCATAAACGGCGCGTGTTCATATTAGCACCCCCAGTACAGCGCGACCTAATGTGACACGGTGTCACTACAGCTCGTCTCATCTCTTGCACGCCCCATTTTGGCGCGACCAATTACGTTAACGTCCGAATATAAGCCAGCTCATTACACACGTGACCCATAATGTGCAGGCTCATGTTAGCAAGCGTGCATAACCAGTTTTATGTACTCTTGATGTTAGTATTACCATGGTGGATATCAGGAGGAAACCCGTTCTTAAAAAAGATATGCAAAAAAGAGAAGAAACACATGAGAACGAGTTGTGCTGCATAGGCCCCAGCGGCATATGCTAGCTAAATGTTGCCAAGATGCTTTTTGGGATGCTAGCTGACAACTCAGAAAGATGCTGATTTGGATGCTAGACAACACGAATTATGCTACCTATTAACCCTTTGTGGGTCTTACTCAATGTATGTGAGGGGTGGTCACGCAAACACGCGTACAAACAACGAGCCATAACTCAAGTTCCGTGAGTTGTAGGTATGGGTAAACTATATATTTTCAAAATCTGTATGCCTGGACGCGTCCAGAAAACACAAATATGACTATGTCCAGGCAAGGATATGACCCGTGGTAGCCCTTCAAGTTGAGAGAAAATACAATTGCGAACAAAAATGCACAAAAATCACAGCACGAAGTGCATACCAAGTTCGTGATGGAGCTGAAGTCCTATGATAAACAATCAGGTAAGCGCTACGTCTTGGTGAAGAATATATTATGCTCCTTATCCCGTCCTTGAACTCCAATACCTCGCCATCGGCGATGCTCCAGCAGCAACAGTTCCACAATATCACAATTTTGGTTCGTTCACATCAGCGCCGCTCGCGTCAGATTCACTCTCGCTCAGATGAGTACTCAGGCGCGATGTCACGCGTGCCGTGATTCTCACGGCCAGGCGAATCAGCTGATCGCACCTGACAAGTCCTTGTGAGAGTTGCTGTTGCTGTGCTTCCTCGCTGGTTGGTAAATTTGATTTCTTCATTCGGGGACGATTTATTTGAGCTAGGAGGACTCAACGGAGCTCTCTTTCTCACGACATTACACTGGAAATCCTCCAGAGACATCCAGCCTAGACTGGTGCCGTCAGTGTCCCCAGAAAGCTTTTCTGACACGGCTTCAAGAGATGCACTCCCATTCTCGAAATGCGCGCATGGCGGATGGTCGTCTTTTCCAATTTCACCAGACTTCAGTCGATCGATACTGCAAAATTTTGTATGGTAAGTATGGTTGTTTTTTACACCGTTGGAAAGCCTGGGACCTCAGCTACGAGTGGAGCACCATTTTAGTTGTCTCCTAGCAACAAAACTCACAGAAAATGCGATTTTACTGTAAGGGTCACATACGACCCTTACGCTTATGTGAGACCCATAAAGGGTTAATGGTAATGGTGAAACATTTGGGTTGAAAACGGTGTTCCGTGCTATTTATGAATTCTCACAAAGCAGGTATGTGAAAAGAGTTTTTAAAGGTGCGATGTTGGCATCATGTTGCTATGGAAATATTTGCAATACAAAAGAGCAAATACCAAGAAGTACCAATGGCAATGTGGGTTTTGGTCACAACTAGGTAATGCAAACAAATTGAATGTAGTGCATGCAATTATCAATGTGGTAGTACCGTAATACTAGTTTCATAGTGTAATCTAGACCGAATTCCACATCCAGAATGCCAAAATTGCCAAAAATGTATCGGATGCCGGTAAAAACTGCTGTTTATGCTAGCATCGTGTGGAGTCACAAAAAGGCCCTTTTATGCTACTTTGGGTGCTAGCATTTGCCGCTGGGGCCTAGAACTTGTGCAGCAACTATCCACGACTGTAACAAGATGATAAACAGTCAGAAAGTGACTGTGCGATAATAGGGCACGAAACTGACAGGCCACTGAGACATTCAGCGGCCCGAGACCTAGCTCTAACACATCATCAGTGCGCAAACCAACCTTCCAACTACTTGGAAGGTTCGTGGTTCGTGGACTACAACCTATTTGTATCTGGACCTGTTAACGTCCATCCAGGCAATATCGCCATTTAATACTGAACTGGTGTTTTTGAGTCGATAATTGCTTTTTTTAGTTCATCATTGCTTTCTAGAGTTGATTATAAATTGAGTCCAGGCAATATCGCCCTTCAATACTGAACTGGCCATTTCGAGTTGATCATGATTTGAGTCTTTGACAAGTCGAGTGTCCATCTTTTGGGTTTGAGTGTAAATGAGTCGACCTGTACTGAGCGTGCGCGCTGACGGGGTGGTCTGTTTTGGGGATGTCCAGTTATTGGGATGGGGCTTTTGGGGGGCGCTGAAGTCAACGGCGCTGTTTTGGGTCGCGCTCATGTGGGGGCATACCAAAGCCACTTCATAGCTGTGTGGTGTAGACCAGGCTGAATAGTGGCGGTCAATTCTTCAGCCTTGCAAGCTGTTGAATGGTGCAATCCCAGCACAAGCTGCTATGGCTTCTGCTGTAGCATCGCTATCATCGCCTCCGGCGATGGGTGTCCAATGGTCCAATGGTGTGTCCCATATGGTGCAGTGGTATGTGCAGCGATTTCCAATCGATAGGTTGCGGGTTCGATTCCCGACGATTATGGTCACACACGTCTTTCTTCTCTTTCTCAGACTCTTCCTGACTTTTCTTTCATTCTCCTGGGTGGTTACCAACAGCCAGTGCATGCCGGAGTACGTGGTGTGATGGTGTGCGCGGGAAAAAAATGAAAAGACCAAAAAATAGGGATTCACTGGCCAGAAAAAGTCACTTCAAATAGCTGTATGGTGTAGACCAGGCTGAATAGTGACGGTCAATTCTTCAGCCTTGCAAGCTGTTGAATGGTGCCATCCCAGCACAAGTTGCTATGGCTTCTGCCGTAGCATTGCTATCATCGCCTCCGGCGATGGGCGTCAAAAGGTGTGTGTGTGCATGTATGTGTGTGCGTGCGCGCACGCATGCCTGCGTGTGTTTACTAGTGTTGCACACATGCATGCGCACAGTTGCGAGTGACTGATTCTAGCCGTGGTCATGCGCCACAACTAGCATTTGTACGGTTGCTTGCTCCTGTGTGCAGTAAAGTCATGCGTAAAAGTCCTGCTCATTCTTGTACAAACTGCTGCAAGAGCTAGTCTGCTATTACAACCATGCTTGTGTACACAAACAACAACATATTTCTGCATGTGTCTTTATATAACCGCCGGGTGTATTTACTGTATTTGAATGTTTGACTGTCCTGTCTGTGTGCAGTACCAGCCAGGGACCCGCAGCCGACTGCTGTTGAGACCATGTCGCGCTCCTTGAACATCACTTGGGTGCCAGTGCCGCTTAAGGAGCGTAGAGGCATCATATCGTCTTACGAAGTCAAGGCAGTTCCTTCTCATTATCTCAATTATGTATGTTGCCTTTTTCTTTTCTGTACAATTGTATAGGTGTGTGTGGGGGGGGGGGGGGGGGGGGGTATTTGAGCATGAGAATGGGAGTCTGTGAGGGACAATGTATCTGTGTAAGTAGCTGTGTTACTGTGCGTGTTACTGTGCGTGTTACTGTGCGTGCATGCGTCCATGTGTGTATGCGTATGTGTGTGCATGCATGTGCGTATGTGTGTGCGTATGTGTGTGTGGTACCGGTGGCCAGCATGCCTCCTGGTCTGCCCCTTATGTGGCCACATAGCCAGTCATGGCAGTGGAAGAAGGAAGGAAGGTGTGTGTGTGTATGTGTGTATATGTGTGTGGTGTGTGTGTGTGTGTGTGTGTGTGTGTGTGTGTGTGTGTGTGTGTGTGTGTGTGTGTGTGTGTGTGTGTGTGTGTGTGTGTGTGTGTGTGTGTGTGTGAAAGTGAGGGAGAGAGAGGGAGAGAGAGGTTGATGTGTGCATGCTGTGCACGCCGATTTGTCGGCAATAGAAGGATTGGATTCAGCAGTTGTTAGCAGAATCCTCCTATAATTATTTTTTGTGGTGGCATTTAAAGACGTGCTATTGTGCGGGCAAGGTGATGGTGATGGTGCATGCATGCTTGCACTTATGGATGATAGTGAAGAGTGACAGAACACTCCACTCTTGTACATGGTGACTGTATAGAAAATGTTCGATAGGCACTGGTGAGCATTATGCTGGTTTTGTTATCTTTGTATTTCTCTTCCCAGAGTGTTGCTCCACCGACCATTACTATCCACCGTGTACAAGCGCGGACAGTCTCTAGTGACCCAGTAACCAACTGCTCCTACATCCGTGATTTAGTTGACGAGACTGCTGGTGCTTTATACTATCAGCAAATTGTCGGCTTGCATCCAGGCACCTCGTATAATGTATCCATCAGGAGCTGTACTGTTGCCGGTTGTTCCAGTGCACCAACCAGTGTGATCAATGTAGCTCGCTTTGTAACCAGCTCAGAAGGTTAGGATGGAATTGACGGTTCTAACAATCCAATGTTTTACAAGTGCCGACTATGCGTATTGTTCCAGCATTTCTGCACACTGTGGCTTGCATGCTAGAAAATCATTTAGCATCCTAGTTTCTTCTTTGTACATAGAGACAAGAGTGCAGGAATGTTGTAGTGATGTAAATATGCGTTCAATGAAATGACTGCAACCTGAATCTCTGCAACCTGACCAGCAACAAGGCTACCTACAAAGCTCTGACGAGCATGCATCTAGAAAAGTAGGTAATCAGCAGCTTTCGGCGTGTTTATCAAAATATCAATAAAGCAATTCCACCTCCACTACATGCGCTCTCTGGCCGATCTCATCATTGGTTAGCTGGTGTGTGTGTTTACGACAAGGTGCCATCCCACCAGTTGTCATGCTCTTTGCGCGGACATCTTCAAAACGATGCTTCTCCAGTACTCACCGTCAACCTGCCCACTCTCCCCCCCCCCCCCCACCTGCTTTTGTGGCTCACAAACGCGAGGGAAACGGGTGTTTATATGCCTTTGCCTGCACTGATACTTTCTACAGTGGACCATACTGTCCAATGTCCCAGTACCTACTCCCATCATGTCTCTGGGTTCGGCATTTCTCATCCCATTGTGCCCATTATTCCTTTGACCTTTCTATCCCTACTGCCCAGGAGAGTAGGGGCTGCATAAGCCAGTACTGGAGAAACAGATTTGAAACGCCGACCATATCTGTTTTGAACTCGGATGGTCCTTCTCTTCTTCTTAACTTAAAAAGGGGGGATTTAGGTTTCAACTTCTCATATAATGCTTGCATGGCGCTGCCAGTTAGTTATTCACTGGTGATTAGTGGTCTACGACCATTCTATTGCTCTTTGAATTCTATTACCATTGAAAAATGTCTGTCCACTCTATTCTCTGTTTTGTGTAGCTCCTGCAGCTGGCGTTCGCCAAGTCATTGTCAATGCCACAGCCACCTCGGTCAGCATATCTTGGCAGCCACCAAAGGAGGAGCAACAGTTTGGTCGGATCACTGCCTACAGAGTATCTCTGTGGGCATCTGATCGACTGGCCAAATCCAAGAACCAAAATGACAACCTGTCTTTGACGATCAATACCACCAATCTACATGCTAATATCTCCAATCTCTCGCCATTTTTCACTTACTCTTATTCCGTCATTGCTGAAAATATTGCTGGAGTATCACCAAGTGAAGTGGGAACATTCCAAACTTCTTACACAAGTAAGTGCATGATGACTGAAGCTTGAAGTTACTTCCATTGAACATGTGTGTGTGTGTGTGTGTGTGTGTGTGTGTGTGTGTGTGTGTGTGTGTGTGTCTCTCTCTCTCTCTCTCTCTCTCTCTCTCTCTCTCTCTCTCTCTCTCTCTCTCTCTCTCTCTCTCTCTCTCTCTCTCTCTCTCTCTCTCTCTCTCTCTCTCTCCCTCTCCCTCTCCCTCTCCCTCTCTCTCCCTCTCTCCCTCCCTCCCCTCCCTCCCTCCTCTCCCTCCCTCTCTCTCTCCTCCCCTCTCCTCTCTCTCTCTCTCCTCTCTCTGTCTCTCTGTCAATTGTTGCCATCGTCGTCGTTGTTGTTGTTGAATTCTTTATTCTCACAATGGCACCATCGCCAATAAGAGTTATTATTATTATTATTATTATTATTATTATTATTATTATTATTAAGTAGTGGTTGCGACTTCGGCGATAATTTGTAAGAAAGGGTTT